ACCTAAAAACACTTCTATACCTCTAAATGAACACCCTTTCCAAAGCGTATTTATTTTACAAAGCTTTCATGAGAAATTTGTAGTAGCCGTGAAATTCGCTTTTAGTGAAATAATATGCTATTTACATTCACAGACATACATAAGTATCCTAGGAAAGATATAGGAGCGAAACTCTTCCTATTTTACCAAAAATTCTGTTGTTCAATTAGCCAAGGAGTATACACTTAGTGGAATACATATATTGTGTGCGACTTCGAAAAATGATTTTCTTCTTCTTCTTCTTCAATGAAATGCAGCCTGCATTTTTACCTCACATGGCCCTTACGTGAATTTTTGCAGCACAAAAGTATCTTCACAGACATATCGTACACTTACAACAACAGTTTTCGTTCTTCAGCTTCATACGCGCAATTCGTTCATGCATTCGTTACAAATCCTGATGCTGCTCCTGCTACTGTTTGTAGCACCAATTACACGTTGCCGGTTTCACTGGAGAAGAGAACGCTGGTAATGTCACATTTATAACGGAGACGGAATGTTGACAGTTATGTGTAAGTAGTCCTCCTCAATCAGTTCGCCCGGCAATTCCGCTGAAAATAAATAAAATGGAATAAAGTTATAAACTGTCAATTTATGTTCGATACACTCGGATATTCATTGCATGCAGTGAGTTCAAAAATCACGTCTTTCATTTGCGTGATCAAATCAGGGAAAGCGGTTTTTATTTAATTGCAAATTAATGCGTCAGTCGTCAATACCTAATGGACACGTTTGTAAAAGGGTTGTCTGACTAATATAGAAAAACTGGAAACATAAATGACAAATAAAGAAAAGGGAGGAATGACGAGACATCCAAAAATTGGGACAAAGCTGTTGTTCTTTCTTTGAGAAGAAACCACTGCTCAGTCTAAGAGAAGCTAAACAAAATTAGAAACGATACCTACGCTTTAAAAAAACCAAAAAAAAAGTTTGAAGATATAGAGATTTAAACGAAAACCTTTAAAATTGGTTTTGAAGGTGATTTATATTTAAATTCTTTCTCTTTTAATTTTACTTATTACAATCACATATACACATGTAAAAAATTAAGAAGATTGTTGGCTTATGGAGCGCGATTCACAAATGCAGATGCGCTTGTGTTCGTACTTTTTTTATTAATATGAAAAAGCATAATAATAAAAAAAAAAATTTTTTTTTTGTTTGATAGGATGGCAGCGTAAAATATTTCTCTCTGTTAATATTGGCAAGCTCAGGAAAAGTTACTACAGAACATACTCCCTTTTTCACTTTCAAATACAAAAAGGCAGAGAAAAGTTGTTTGGTTAATAATATGTTCTACTTGTATCATGAAGATTTTTCACATATTGGCGGATTATATGGTGAACCGGAAAACTACATATATATAATCTCTCCAAATGGGACTAAGGATGTTTTAGACAATTTTATGTACCAGAATACATTAGTTTTTGGAAAATATGCCGACTACCATATTTTTTTTAAGTTGAAGTATATTTTTGATATAGAAACAAATATCCTCATACTAGGTAGATATTGGTATGACCCGATTTTAATAAAAACAGGATTTATGCTTGGTTATGTTTGATTTCTTCACCCACACTTTATTTCTTTGTATATAAAGACATTTTATTTCTGTGAAGTACTGAATAAATGTGTTACCATTCCAAATACGAAATACTTTCGTAAATCTCTCCAGTATATCAAAAAGACAAAGTCAAGGTTGAACTTTTCCTCATGGTACATAGAGACTAAGCACTGAAGACATGAGTTATAACATCTTAATTAACAACTGACATATTTACATAGGTATGTAAGTCAACGCCTGCTTTTTTTTGGCAGCGCATGACCTAACCAAACCAAACAAGGTCAGCAACAGGAAACACGAAAATCCAACCAACATGAAAATCATGGGGAATAACTTACACCTATGTAAATAAGCTTATTATATATTATAGTTTAGTGCTTAGTAAATTTACGGAGTTCAAATGTGACATTAAATAAATGTACTTGGAATACTTTCATGCAGAGAATATAATTATCTTTATAACTAATATAAATCTGCATGCAAGTAGCAATGGAAGTATTGAGAAAATACATATCAAACTAACTAAGATACGCTATAGTTTCTATATTATGTTACTTATATAGAAGAAAATTTAGAGGAATACCAATAATCTTAATCAGTTCACAAAGAAATTTCACAAGCTACATCAAACACAACAATATTCTCTGCCATTTATGTATGGTTCCGTAGATAGTAATGTGTAAAATATTAAAATCCAACTTATTGGCTGAAAAATTTGTAGTTTTATGCACATTGCGTTTGAGCAAAATTAGTATTTATCGAAAACTAAATACAAAGTATATAAGTAGTTCTTTTTTTTTCATATGTATTTATTATTTTTCTGTATGTATTTAGGTATCACTGACCAAATTGATCGCTTTTCCGAGATAACGAGAGTTTTACGATATATTTCCTGCCGAAAAAGAGTTATCGAACTCGCATCTAAGCTCATCCGTATTTATGGACCGTCATAATTTTTAAGATAAATCCATTATACAACTAGTATTAAGCTAGTCTAGCTCTAGACCAACCACTCGAACATAAGGCAGAGTTGGGTTTTCGTTTGTGATACCTAACAAAAAAAGATACACCAAGTTACTTACAAGAACTCATTTTGTCAACACTTTTAAAATGTCTGCTACACATAAAATGAATAAAATTCAGAAATAATGTTTCAAATACATTCACATGTTTACCGCTGTTAATAGAATTAGTACCATAAAGTTAGGTACGCCACTGCGTATACGCACTTTTGCATAAACGCTTCATGCGGAGAAACTTATTTGCTTGTAATCTTTTTGGGTATAATAATTTTTCATTGAGTACAAGTACAAACATAAGCTTAATATGTACTTCAGATCATACATATGTATGTATAAACTCTAAGG